CACAACCAAAGAAGGATCAAGGAGAAATAAGGAAAGAGAATAAGGTTAGAAGTAGAAAGAGTACTACCAGGTAACAGCATTGATAATGCTACAAAGAGAAAAAGACATGAAAAAGAGAGTTTCAAAAACATATTAAAGTTTAGAGAAGAAAAGGATGAACAAGTATGGTAATATGATGTCTAAATCCTTTTATACTTATGAAAAATTAATGGTTGAATGGAAAAAAGTCATGGTGGAATGACGGAGATGGAGGGAAATTAGATCTTTAGATTTGATTTTGGATGGGAGAAAACTTTGGGTGGGGAGGGAATCTTAAACTATTGAGGTGCAGAGAGGTGGTAATAAAGTTTTAGGTTTTTCTACTATTCCCCCTTGTTCTTTTAATTTTTTGGCGCAAAAAAATTGGGCCTCAAATTTGATTTTTAAGAGGCCCATTTTTGGTTTTTGGTTAGTGGAAGGCCTAATTGAAATCAACTCAAACTTTTATTCAAGTAATACCAAATTCAAGCCTAAAATCCCGAATACCATTACCATCAACCCAAATTCATTTTTTCAAGTTGGTTTTTAATTAACCCTTTGGCTAACCACCCAAATGCCCACCCCTACTTCTTACTACCTCACAAGGGTGGAGTTAATCTCAATGTGCTTAAAATACCCTCTAACCACAAAGTAAAAGCAAAACAGAAGAAAGGAATCCAATCCAAAGGAATTGTCTTTTCCATGGAGGCCAAAACCAAACAAAACTCAATCTTAATTTTGATAATGAATTTTCTACCTAATTAATTTTTAACGTTCCATTGCATCTCTACATTTCATTAACTGCAAAATAGATGCCCTTTAGTTTGGGCTAAAACCAATGTTTTCAAAATCGAATCGGAGGTCAAACCGTTTTGACCTTTGGTTCACAGTTTTAATGGTCCAACTGGTTTAATCGGTTAAAAAACCAGGTTGATTGAATTTTGAATTATATATTAAATATAATATACTGTAACCCATTTTAGTGAATGAGTAGTGGCTCAAGTGGTTAGTGTTTCGTTTTTATTGTATAGAGAACTAAGGTTCGAGTCTCATGTGTGTTGAAATTATTCAATTTACATAACACTATTATAATAAATAAATGTTAATGCATCCACCTACAATAACCTTGCTTCGGATCAAGTGGCAGGAATTATTTGAAACCTTTAAGAGATTCAGTGTTCGAATCCGAAAGAGGCTATTTTCCCTTTAAAATCTTTGCAATATTCTTTAAAAAATATTCTTTGCAACAAATTTCACAACAGGTTGGATGCTCTAGTGTCAAATTGTTCGCAAACCTCTCATGAGGTTTGCTGTTCGAAACCCACACGAGTCAAATTTTGGAGAATTTCATCCAAAGAGTTGGCCCAGTCGGTTGCACGGGTTGCTGGTTCTGATCGGTTTGAGTGGTTTTGAACGGTTCAACCACCTAAACGGTTTAAGATATCAACTTGACTCGTTTTCATTATCGGGTATCGATTCAACCGATTGATCTGGTCCGGTTTTCAAAACCTTGGCTAAAACTAATTTTTAGCCTCTTACCTTATAAAATTGGTAGGTTTTAGCCTTTAACCTTATAATATAACACTTTTAACCCTTTACCTTACAAAGTTGATAGGTTTTAGCCCCTCACCTTATACTATGACACTTTTAACCCCTTATCTATACGAATTGAAGAAAATAGCCCTCACTTAACATTCAGGTTATAATATTTCTGTTAGTTCTGTTAGCTGATTGTTAGCATCAGCTAGTATTCCGTTAATGGAACTAACATATAAAATTGAATTTAAATTTTATGTTTTTCTATAACAAAATGCTAACGGATGTTAACAGTCAGTTAACAAAACTAATAAAATGTTACAGCGTTTTGTTAACTAACTGTTAGCATCAGTTAGTATTCCGTTAATGGAACTAACATATAAAATTGAATTTAAATTTTATGTTTTTCTATAACAAAATGCTAACAGATGTTAACAATCAGGTAACAAAACTAACAGAATGTTATAACCTGATATTAAGTGAAGGCTATTTTCTTCAATTCGTATAGGTGAGGGGCTAAAAATGTCATAATATAAGATAAAATGTTAAAACTTACCAATTTTGTAAGGTGAGGGGCCTAAAATGTCATGTTATAAGATGAGAAGCTAAAACCTATCAACTTTGTAAGGTGAGGAGCCAAATATTGATTTTTGCCTTTAGTTTGTTGGCAGCCAATATGTTAGAGAAAGGATATGAACACTATGAATTTTTGAAGTAGGACTCCATTAAAATGGTTTTTGCATTATGTACAAGGACCCTTATCAATGATACCTTAGTTGAGGGACGTTCATGAACGAAAAATCAAAGTACAAGGATCAGCTTTTTAAAGAAAAACGTTTGAAACTGACATTGAACATCTGTCTAAAAATTGGGGTCTAAACTCGTAATTTACCAAAGACCTACACTCCTATTCCGGTTGGGCCGGATTTGGACTCAAGACCCGGCCCATAAAAACCCTAACAACAACATCCACCCTTTCTACTATCATCCCTCTGCTTCCCTCAGCTTTTGCTTCTTCTCCGTAGCAGCTGCAGCTTCACCTCCCGCCGGTTTCCTGGTTCATCGCCCTCGCTTACTGGTACGTTGCTTACCTAACCCTTTTTTTGGTTACTTAGCAAATTTGGGAAATTAAAAAGGAAAATTGCCAATGCTAATATGCTTCTTCTTTGTTTTCCTTAATCGAAATCAAAACTAACCCTAGTTCCACAGATGGATTTTTTTCTTATCTTTTCGAGGTATTATATTAAATTAAATTAAGCAGCTGATTTTAAGAGTTCTGAGATGTGGCTCTTCGACTGATGTTTTGTTCATTGAATATTTTGTGAGTCCCTTCCGCCTGGTTACAAAACAGTGAAATTTTATTATTATTATTATTATCAATAATTATTAATCAAAACAAGGGTAGTCTTACATCAACTCAAAATTCAATCTTCCTTTCCGATGTATTGGATTGGATTGGATTGGATGTTGTGGGAATTAGGAAAGGAAATGCCAATTTTGCTTCTCAGATTGATTGTTCTGTTTCCATTAGAGACTCTAATCTAATCTTTGTACTAATTGACTATTTCACTTTGGTTTTAAGATTTCAGGGAATTGGGAAGAATTTGGAATGGGTGCCAGCAGCGATCCCAACCCTGAGGCCTCTGACGAGCAGCAGAAACGCTCCGAGATATACACATATGAAGCCCCCTGGCACATCTACGCCATGAACTGGAGCGTACGCCGTGACAAGAAGTACCGTCTTTCTATTGCCAGCATGCTTGAGCATTACCCTAACCGTGTCGAGATTGTCCAGCTTGACGACTCCAACGGCGAGATCCGCTCTGACCCTAACCTCGCCTTCGAACACCCTTATCCTCCCACCAAAACCATCTTCATCCCTGACAAAGAATGCCAGAAGCCGGACCTCCTCGCCACCTCCGCCGACTTCCTCCGGATTTGGCGCATTTCTGATGACCACTCCCGTGTCGAACTCAAGTCCGTCCTTAATGGCAACAAAAACAGTGAATTTTGCGGTCCTCTTACTTCCTTCGACTGGAATGAAGCTGAGCCCAAGCGGATCGGCACCTCCTCCATTGACACCACCTGCACCATCTGGGACATTGAACGTGAGACTGTCGACACCCAGCTCATTGCCCATGACAAAGAGGTTTACGATATTGCCTGGGGT